AGGGGGGGAAAACCCAAGGGGGGGAAGGGGGGGGGGGGGCGTCGCCAAAGAAAAAGGCTAAAAAAAGGGGGGGGGGGGGGAGGGCCGAAAAAGGCCCCGGAAAGGGGGCCGCCCCGGGGGGGAAGGGTCCCCCTTTCCCCCCAAGGGAGCCAAACCCGGGGGGGCCCTTGGGGACAGGGGGGGGGGGGCCTTTCCCCCGGGGCCCCCCCCCTTTCCCCTTGTTCCCCCAGGAAGCCCCCAGTTTTTTCGCCTTGGAGGGGCCCGATTTTGAAAAGGTTTTTTGAATTGGGGGGTTTTTTCCTTTGGGTTGCAAGTGGGGGAGGCATAGGGTGGGAAGGGTTCCCCCCCCCCCCCCCCCCCCTCGTTTTTTGTCGGGGTTGGTGTTGGAATTTCCGTGACCTTCGCCGGCTTTTTCATGCTGTGTTCCGAAGAATCAGGAGGGAACGATGTGGGAAACGTTCCATAGAACGACGCTCCCGTCCCTCTTCCAGCGGCAGTTGTGGTCGTTCACCTCCGCCGCGATAATCTTATAGTGAAGTTTTGTACCTAGGCGGCTTTAGCACAGCCCACCGGATGGTTAGCAACATCAAGTAGCGAAATAGTTTGGCTTGTCTTGTATGGTATCTCCCTCCTTCTATTTGTCATGGTGTGGGTGTTCAAAAGGAAGGGCGTGTATTGTCATTTTCGCAGTAAAAGCGGTTTGGAGTATTTAATAGTAGTACGATTATGGGGGTTTCCGCTTGCCCTGGTGACGTATTTAGTGATTTTTTTTTGTCTCGTCTTTGTTTTTAGCGTAATCGTTTTTTGTTGAGTTACTGCTTTTCGGGGGCATCGTCGTGTGAAGTGCTGTGGGTGGGTTCGTGTTCGTTCTCTTTTTTGGTGGCACTTCAGTTCTCCAACGGTACGTAGGGTCGAGCGCCACGTCAACGTTGCGCGTGAGAGAAAATAAGCGTGTTGGTATACCATCTCAGCTAAGGGTGCTGTTGTCGTGTCGTTCGGGAGCCTGTAGGGTTAGAAAGTGATGACGTTTTCTTTGTTTCTGGTTGTTTTTTTTGGTCCTGTGATTTCTTGGGAGTGGCCCTCGGCCCTTCGGATGTCGTAGCGACTCTCCTGGGGTCGGGCGAAGTCGACGTGAGGCTCGCGAGGAAGGGGGGATGCGGTGGAGGGGTGTCAGGTGCGATGTAAAATAGGTTGGCGTGTTTGTTGGGAGACAGGCGTGGTTTAGAGACCGCCCGTTGACCCAGAGAGGGAGGCAGTTGTCTTACTACTGGTTAAATAGTCAGGTACTCAACACTAGGTTTAGGGCGCGGCCTTGCGCGAGCTACAGCGGTAGGACTACGTGTCGACGATTTCGGATGTACGGAATGGGAGAAAATTGGCGTTACGTATCGGCATCGAATATACTATGGAGTACATCGTGTGCGTGTTCGTCCTGTCTATGTGGCGCCAGTCTGCACACCTGTATTTGTTTGGTTGAGTGTCCCCCCACCTTTCCTCCTTACGGAATTTGCTTTGCCTCAGTTTTTCAACGTTACGTACAAGCGTGGTTTTATTTGCTGCAAGTGTGGAGTGACTCAGAACGAAATTGGGGGGAAATGGTGGTAGCGGCATCGCATGCACGTTCTACTTCAGAACCTTGCAACTAACTAAAGTCTAGGGTAGGTTTTTAAGTCAAACATAAAAAGTATTGTAAGTGTAAAGTAGGCTCCCAGTAGCTTTCCTGCCTTCATGAAAATCGCTTGGCGATCGGAGACCGCCGGGCTCCTAAAGGTATACTAGCGACAGGGTGTGCATGCTGGGGCACCGCCAGAATGGCATCGCTGTAGCTTTAGTCTGAGGCGAGGGTAATTGGGGGTGAAGTGAAGTAAATATGCGTACGTCAAATTTCTCAGTTTTTAAAACCGCAATAGGCATTGCACACCCTTTTGGCGGGACTTCTGAACACGCATGTTGAGGACAAGTCGGACTGTGGACTTGATTCGTCGAAGTCAGTTTTTTAAACCGCAATAGGCATTGCACACCCCTTTTGGCGGGACTTCTGAACACGCATGTTGAGGACAAGTCGGACTGTGGACTTGATTCGTCGAAGGAGTTCGATTTTTCTCGAGTTACACTATAGCCCCGCTGTCCAGAGACGAAAGCATCGCGATGTCATGACGCCATGCAGAACGAGGGATCAGGGCCAAGTTCCGAGGCCTAGGTTCCTTCACGAGAAGCGCTGGCGGGGCGCCGGTACACAGTAGATGCTCTTCACGGGTACATCCTGCCGTTCGTTGCTCTGATGGTCTGTGGCTAACGTCACCGTAAACAAACGTACGTGCGACTGCTGTTCTGTGTGAGTGGCTCTCGGTTGAGAGTTATGAAGGACGGTGAGGGGAACGGTTAGCGCGTCATCTCGTGCGCCTGTGAGGAGAGAGCAGAAGACCGCTTACTTTCTTTGTGAGTACGCTTGAGCGACGTTTTTGCTGAACCGTTCTCGCGTAGTATGCATACCTCCTTCAAATCACTGCACCAAATGATGGGCGTACACCGCCAGAGGGAAGTTTCGGCGCGAACCCCGGAACAGGAGCTGCCAAGGTTGAGGGTCACAAACATAAACAGCCGTTGCTTCCAAGCGATCGACAGATAAGAAGAAGCAGCCTGTTTTGTCGAGGCCGAACGCGCAACACGGGCGACCCATACCAACTCAAGGATAGTTACCGTACTTGAATGCATACCAGTACATCGCCCACCGTCTTGAAGAATCCACGACGCTAAGAACAAAGCAGAACAGTTTCATCCCCCTCTCCACCGCCAACTCGATCCGCGCCCCCCCTTTCGGGAGCATCAACGGGAACTTCGACGACGGACGAAGAAGGGCTGCTTCTGAAAAACCCGCAACAAGGGAATCCCATACCGCACCGTACATCACCCCTCGTTCCGTCTCGGGCGGAGGCGGTCCTTCGTGCGTGTGTAAGTTTTCTCTCTCTAAAAAACGTTGCCGACAAAGCAGAAAGAGATGCAGGGATTCCACACGTTGGCCTTGTTGCGGCCGGCGCCGTGTTATAACACACACGCACGCCCCCGCCGCGCACTGCTGGGAACAAACTAAGAAGCAGCAACACGGACAACGCGACAGAGGGCCGGGAGAAGAGGCGAGAGAGAACCCAACCACTCCAGCAGCGCCAGCCGTGCCACAAGCCTGCGAGAGCTGCGGCCCCCTTAAACCCAAAAGAACCTGAAGGATATTACACGAAAAACAAAAAAAAATAAACAAAAGTTTCTTCCTACCGCTTTAATAGCCTCCCTCCTTCCCCCGCGCGCGTCCGCCGTTTTGCAACGCAGGCAAGAATCCTACGGGCGCCAACGTTTTCTACAGCCTTGACCACACTGCGCTCCGCACCGGAACACGTCTAGTAGTCAGTTAACTGCAGGTGCTCCGCACCTCTGATAAACAAGGGCTACATTGGTCGGTGACCACCTCCTTTTCAATCCTAGACCTACCGGCTTGCCGTT